TGAGGAGTACGTAAATGTCGCCGAGGATTTTCATTATTTCGTGTATGCGCTTGGTAACGCCGCCCATCATCACGGCAACGTCGCGACAACGTCGTAACAGCGTCACAACAACGTCGTAAAAACGTCACAACAACGTCGTAACAGCGTCGTAACAACGTCGTGACAGTGGTCGCGACAGCGGTCGCGACAGCGGTCGCGACAATAGTGTTACAACAACATCGTAACAATGTTACGACAGAACATCGCGACGTCTCCGCGGCCTACTACAAGCAACTCAGCCGAGCTGCTGCACTTGTCCCACTACGGCAACCCGCTCATGTCCTCCCGCGGTACGGCGATTTTGTGTACCGTGTTGCGTTGAAACTATGGCGGTCCAGTCCAGCTTTCACTTCCTCGGCCCGAATGCCGACACTGCCCGCTCTGCCATGCGCCCACCCGCGAGGCGTATGACCATCTTCTAGTGCGCTGCCCATTCATTCGCGCGGTCTGGCGCGCTTTTGACCCGATGCGCGATACCTTGCAGCTGCAACTTCCGTCGTCGGTCGGTGGCTTCCTCTACGATGCAGTCGTTCTCAGCCGACAAGTCGACCATCCGTGCCCTCTGGCCAATCTTGCGCGCTTGCGTTTGGTACAGTCTTTGGCTAGAACGCAACAACTGCGTGTTCCGCTCGACATTGACGGGGCCCCTTCCCGCTGCTGCACTCGCGATTAACGCCGCTACTATCACGCGATTGTATATCCGGCACTTGGCTCGCCGCGCCGTGGTGCCTTCGCTTGCCGAGTCGCCCTACGCGCCGATCCTTGGTGTGCCCGCTACCTCATTCCCCCGCTCAATCCTGAGCCCCGACCAAGCGCCCTCAGCTTGACATACCGGCCAAACCTCATGAGCGCATTAGGAAGTCCACCATCTTCACTATATAATTGCATGTTGATAACTCATTTCAACAACGTCGCGACAATAATGTTCCAACAACATCGCGACAACGTCACAACAACGTCGCGGCAAAGTCGCAACAGTGTCGTAACAGCGTCGTAACAACGTCGTGACAGTGTTACGACAGTGGTCGCGACAGCGGTCGCGACAATAGCGTTACAACGTCGTAACAATGTTACGACAGAAGCCGCTCTTCAGCGCCAGCTCGCGCTCGTAGACCACTTCTGCAGCCTCTCAGGATTCAAGCTCAACCGAGACAAGACTCAAGTCCTCGCGCACTCGCCGTTGCTCAACCTGTCGACGTTGCAGCTCGTTCAGCCGTCGCAGCCGACCAAGGCGCTTGGCATCCTCGTAGCTCCGAACCTGCCGCGCAGCACGCTGCGACTACGCACTGCGCCGCCTTCGCGACCGGCTGCTGCTTTGGCGACACAAGTAGACGACCTTGGCCGGCAAGGCCATCATCCTACAAACCGTCTGCCTGCCGGTACTCTGGTACCAGCTCGCGTGGGTTGCGCCGGACAGCAAGACGGCCGAATGCATTGACAAAATGATCCTCCAGTTCATCAACGGCGAACCGCCAGTCATCGGCGAGGGCGCGCAAGGCCACCGGATGCTCCACCAAAGCACCGTCTTCGCACCGAAACATCAAGCCGGCCTCGGCCTCAAGCCCGCGTTCTTCCCGTGGTCCGCGCGACACCGCGGCCACTCGCTCCGGTTCTTGCAAGCCGCGCTAACGACGTCCCCAGACCCGGCCTGGTCGTCGCCAAGCATGGCCGTCATCGCCAACGCCTACGCACCGTGGGGCGACTTTGCAGACCTCGCCTTCGCCGATCCGTCGCTCCCCCGGATACGGCGCCTGCTCACGTCGAAGGCAGTACCCGACCGGTTTAAGTTCATGCTCAACTACTGGTTCTCCATGCGCGTGGGGCCGAGCACGCTTCCGGCGCCGTCGCCGCTGATCCACGCACAACCGCTTTGGTCCAACCAGTTTCTTCCAGTAGATAGATGTAGTTACGTAGAAAAGACCACAAGATGGCACACTCGGTACGCACGGACGATGGCCAAGATCGGGATCACCCAAGCTCAGCACGTCCACGCCCTGATGCTCCCAGACGCTCCGACGGAGACGCTCGCGACACGAACTCAACGCCTCATCCAAGCGGTAAACGACAAGTGCCACAGCCGCGCCCTCGGACCACACGTGACGCCAAACGCCCAGTGGGTCGCCTGGCTTGCAACGACGGTCGACGCCTACAGGTGTGGCCCGCTGCCGAGCCCGACTCTCAAGCCGCCATGGCTGGTTCGCCTGCACAACGCGACGAAGCTGTTG